ACCTCCCTCGCCACCGAAAACCAACACCACCACTGTCCTTGGTCAACTTCACCTCCAACCGCAAACTTTCGTTCGCCCCCGCAACTCCCCCTTGTTCAACTCTTTCCAGCCTACAGAACTCTCTACATAGTCAAAATGGGTAAGGTTCACGGTTCCCTCGCTCGTGCCGGTAAGGTCAAGTCTCAGTGCCCTAAGGTCGAGAAGCAGGAGAAGAAGAAGCAGGCCAAGGGTCGTGCCCACAAGCGTGCTCTCTACAACCGACGGTGAGTCATACCATTCGACTACTTCTTACCAGGGCAAGCGTAAACAAGAGATAAGAGTCCGGACTTGGGGGTGAGAGATGGAGGTTACCCTACTGGAAAAAAGGACTTTCAAGAGGTGCATATTTCGCAACTCTTAAGAGACAGTCCACGAAGGTGTGAGCGCACTACACTCCACTGGATCAAAGTTAAGGAGGAAAGTTGAAGGTGAAGGGGAAGGGGTGTGGAAGGGGTGTGGAAGGAAAATGGTGCACACTGTGGAGCATTCAAGCTTCTCTGCGATATCTGCTTGGGACATCAGAGCACTAATGGTAACCTCGCCATGCACACCTTGTCTTTGGAAACGTAACAGATTCGTCAACGTCCAGCTTGGTCCAGGTGGCAAGCGCCGCATGAACCCAAACCCGGAGAAGTAAACGGGCATTAGCCGCATACGAAACTCAACACACGTCAACATGTTCAATTTTTAAGGAAGGAGCGTGGTCGATGTTGCGATTCCTTCGGGTAGGGAGGTTGGGGGACTGGAGCTGGTTGTTGAAAGGAAAGCTGGTTTGGAATGGAAAGGGGATGGATGAGAAAAGATGTCGGGTTTAGCTTGGGACTGGAGACGGCGTCTGGACAGGTCTTGAGCCAGTGGTCATTTGGCTCAGGTCAGGGTTTTCTCCTAAGGCATCTCTCGGGCAAGGTTTCTTTTTCACTCTCGTTGGGCAGGTTCCGTTGGCGCCGCTCGGCAGGGCCTTGAAATCACCACGCGCGAAGGATCTCGGAGCATTCCTAGGCCATTTCATCTCGTGATTGCGGATTCACCTTGGCCTGCCTCATGTCGTATACTGGTCAGCAAGCGTGAACATCACCGACCCTTCCTTGTTCATCTTCAATCAGGTCTCAAATCAACTTTCTTTCTGCTCTCCTCGCCATACGTCCAGCTCTCTCTTCACCATGGGAGTTTTGGCCTCGGATTCTATTGTCTCTTCCTACTTCCCATGTAACAAGCCTTTTACTCCTTTTTTTCTCCCTTCTCCCTTTTACCCCCCTTCTCCAACTCGATCTCCTCTATGCCAACGTCTGACGATGATACCGTGACTGTGAGGGGTTTGACGAGGTGAACAGACAATCCGACGATAGTGCGTTGAAGCCCACCGACCATCCTTGCGCGCAAGAAGAAGGGACTTGGACGCCTCTCAGAAAGATGCAGATCTCTCTACCGTTTGTGCAATGTTACCAAAGAAGAGGTGGGGAGGGTGAAGAGAAAACATGCGCTAGCTTTTCTTCGATCTCGGTAAGAACCGCACGCTCAGACCCTCGCCACAAATGAGGGAAGGAGGGGGATTCCCTTACCCTTTGTTTGTTTCTCATTCATTTTGGGTTAAGGAATGGTCGGATCTTTTGAATGTGGGGAAGAGTGGGGAGGGGGAAGCCTGGCGCAGCAAGGTGGGACCGGACGCACTCTCTCCTCGTACTTTCGTTTTCAGATGCCATCATCCCAAACGCCTCTGACGGACCTCTTCGCATCTCCAAACTTTGTCCTCAGTACGGTCAGTCGACTCCTGTAATCGTCGTGAGGTATGCTTTTTTTTTTGGGGGGGGGGGACGATGATCGCGTGCGGGATTGAACGAGTTTTTTTTTTCTCGTCAGGGGAATTCTGGAAGAGGTTGAAGCGTGCTGGGGATGGTGGAAAGAACGGGAAGGGATCGCCTTAAAGGACTCACTAGGCTCCGCAAAGTCTCCTGTTTCCTACAAACGACGACCTGCCGTGAAGGACCCTATGGTTGTCAAAGACTTTTTTTTTTTTGGGGGGGGAAGGATGAAAATTGAGTCGGCCCGGCGCGGAGAGGGTGAGGGTGTGAGTTTTCCGAGATCGTTCGAGCGGGTTTCTGCGGTTAGGAAGCCACCCTAAAAACATGAAACACAAAACAAAAAACAAAAAAAAGAAGACCCTTCTCCCCGGGGAGGTTCTTTCAATAACGCACTCAGAGCCGTTCCAGGTTTGAGCTGGGTCCAGTACTGCCCTTCCTCGTTGGTGAGGATCTCGTTCCATCTAGACGAGTGGGCGATGGCGGTACGGCAAAAGGAGAGGGAAGAAGATCAGTTGCGTTCAGGTCGCCGAGACCACTCCGCGCCCTCTTTCACACACGCAGATCCTACTCCCGCAGCCCGTCCCTTTGGCAAGGTAACCCCAGGGGATCATGTTTGCTCACTTTCGAAGCGCGTCGTAAAACGGTTCCACCTCGGCTTCTGGGATCCGGAGGACGCTCCTGTCGTCGTTGTTGTATCGGATCAGCACCAGTTCTCCCGTTGCGTCGTCATGCTGGAGGATGGGATACCCTCCGTCCATCAGGGGCCTGATCATCGTGTTGTCGTCGCCGGCCGAGTGGGTTCTGATCCTGACCCTGCTTAGCGTCTCGTAGGCCTCGGGGTGAACGTCCTTCAACACGGCGGCCGCGAGGAAACCGTCGACGAGTAAGGATTCTCCGCCGCTCGGGCCGACAGAAGGTGCCGAGTTGGATTTGGACGACGCGGCACCGCTGCTGGCGACGCTCTTGGAGGCCGTGTGGGAGAGCAGGTGGAACATCTGCAAGCCTGCCGGGTCTGTAAAATAGGTCGTGTCCGTGTGCGCTTGCAGTGCTAGATCCGTGTAGGCCGTGTCACCGTGGGAGAGGTCGCTGGTGAAATCCCAGAAGCCTCCATAATGAGTCTCCCTGATGAATGAGATCCTCCGTATCAAGGCTTCGGTGTCGGTCGGGGTGGGCGGGACGCCGTTGACGAACGAGAATCCATACTGAGACTGGTTTGAGCACAAATCGATGAGGCAGTGACAGAAGTCGTTTAGCGTCCGAGCCAGACCGTGCCGGAAGAGAGGGAAAGGGGAGGAGGAGCCCCAGGAACCTTAGGTAGGGTTTCCAGTTTCCAATGAGGTGGAGTTTTTCTTTGTTTCTATCTCTTCCTCTCTTTGGACCACACTCACAATCTTGTTCAGCCACTTCAGAACGCCCTCCTCGCTCTGCATGACCTCCTCGTAATTTACTGTTGGAGGAGAAGTGCCTATCCCTTTGCCCCAAAGCACCTTCTCGGAGGCTTGAGACGTCGAATCGTTCGCAGCGATCACCTTTGAAGCCCCTGAGAGGAGAGGCGCGTATGAGTTGTCCATCAGCCATCTCCAAGGGTAGAGAGAAGCGTGATCCGGTGCCGAAACTGAATCCCCCGAGATGGCCGCATGGGAAGAGTCGGACGGCAGGCTGGGAGCTACCTCACTGGGCAAGGGTGGCCACTGGACCAACAGACCTTCGGTTGTGCTCTCGACGCTCGTGGGTTGGATGTCGGCCGGTATCTGTGCACATGGAGGAGATTCACGTGAGGAGAGAAAGGGTACCAACGCAAGATGGGAGATGGAGGATGTCAGACTTGCTCAAGTTGAGAAGGTCGAGGAATGAGGGACGTATCAAGGGTGAGATGACTCACTTGGAACGTGTTGATGAGCCTCTGCTTTGTCTTCGGGTGGTAGCATTGAGCACACCGGCAGTGGTCACGGAGCCAGATGTTGTGGCTGAGGTGTCCAGAAAAGGAAACAAGGGTTGGTTTCAGCAACTCTGTTCGGAACAAGAAATAGGTGCAAGTGCACCTGATTGAAAGGGAGTAAGAAAGGAGAGCTCACAACTTGCTGGTGATACCGCTTGCCCAAGTTACATGGATGGATTTCGACTTGGCGTCAAGCAAGACCCCGGGCGAACTCGGTCCGTTCTGCTGCACTTCCTGAGCAGACGTTGGAGACGAGGCGGATAGAGCCTCGAAGGCTAAGGGCCTTGCAGTGTTGACATGGAGCGCTGAGAAAGTGGAGAAGCCGAAACGTTGACGGGCGGGAGATGAGAGGCTTTGGATGACAAGGGGACGGGTTGAACTGAAAGGCACTCTGGCAGCTGATCTCAACCATGGGAAAGCCGGGAGGGGAGGCACTTGGTGTGAGTAGAATGACGGCCATCTCATCGGCGACATTGTTCTTGGTGACGGGTCCCATTTCGACTACTCACTTGTTCGAGGGTGGCAGTTGAAACGAGGTGAGCGGCACAGAGGCGGAACCGTGAATGGGGACCAGGGGTTTCGCGGCGGCATCTGGGTGTGGTGGGTTAGGAGCTGAGAGGGGATATGACAATGAGGAAGAGGGGAAAAGTCGAGTCTGCGCCGAAGGCCGGCGATGGATTCAAGATGCACAGGTCAAGAAGAGCAGTAGCAGAAGAGAAGGCGGGGAGACGAGAGACGGGAGATGGGAGATGGGAGATGGGAGATGAAAGGGTGGGCTTTGGCAAGGCGGGTTCAAGTAAAGCTCGTTTGTCCGAAGCGTGCCCCGCCGACGTGGTCTGCTCGAAGATCTCACCGGAAATGGCAGAGAGGAGGGAGGGGAGGATCAGCAGAAGCCGAGAGCCTCCACACCCGGTGTTTGGCTCGCACAAGCCTCCCGTATTGAGAGGCACACGACTACGAAGGACCAGTAGTTTCGATTCTGGCATCTTCCGACAATCAAACGCCTTACAGATCCGGGATCAACAGCAAGGTTGGAACAGTGAATGAGACCGACAGCTCGAGAGCATTTCTATCAACCTCAAGCCCTGAGATGAAACTTTGCTGGGTTCTTTTGGAAAAGAAGGATGTCACAGGAAAAAAATCATCCAAATAGAATTAGTACCAAATCTTTGACTATACTTTTGGAAATATAATGCTATACTATACCAGTAGTTCCAAACACAGGCGATATGGTCCAGTGGTTACGACGGTGGATTTTGATTACCGCGTTCCCCTAGGAACATGCGTAAACGCCTTCCACATACCTGGGTTCGAACCCCAGTATTGCCTCTTTTTTCATCAATTTTTTTGATCAACTCACCTTTTTTTTTTCCTCCATTAGAGCTGTCTGGAGCATTGCCACCATCACCTCCTCTACTTTTTTCTTTACCCTCAGACTGTTTCCAACTCTCTTTCGAAGACAGAAGATGTTGGTCCACTTTCTTGATCAATGATTCTGCGAACAGACGGGACGAGAAGGGAAAAGGGTCCCAAAATGAATAAAAACAAGAGACGAGTGTTCGAAAAAAAAGCACCACAAAAAAGGGTTATTTTTTTTTAAAAAAAAAAAGACAAAAAGCACCCCGAGGGTGAGGGACCCTACATATCGGAGGATTTCCCCTGTCGGGTCGATGAAGATGTCCGAAGAAAGCAAAAAAAAAAAAAAAACCCATCCGGATCGTTCGCAACGTGCTCATGGAAAGGGGGTTCCGATTTCGAGAAGACCCGAGCGTCCGTCCTGAGGGGATGAAGTTGGTCGATGTTGCGAGGCGCCGAATCGCTTTTGGGTAGGAATCTCCCGTTGGACTAGGAAGTCAAGCGATTCAGCTACAAGAAAGGGAGGCGGGGGCCGAGTAACATTCCTTCGTTCGTGATGGTTTGCCAAACGAGCGAAAGGGCCCCAGTGTGGGGGGGCTGGGGTTGGTAACCCGTGATGAGGTGTCGACTAAGAAGGAAGGATGCTTGGGCATTTGTTGGCGGATTGTTCAAAATGATATATAATGTCAAATTTCTCATGTGAGGTCAAGCAGGGTTGTATGGTCCAATGGTTATGACGTCAGATTCTGATCTGCCTGCTCAGCAGGTGAAACTTCTGAAGACCCGCGTTCGATTCGCGGTACGACCTTTCTACCTCTTTCCTTTTTCTTTTTATTTTTTTTCCAACTCATGGTCCTTCCCATTTTTTCCCTGTTCATCGCCTTTTCAGTTCCATAACCATAACTTGGCTCCAGCGAGAACAACCTTTGCCTTTCCGAGTGCCATACATTGGGGACCAAGGCGAATCGGCTGAAAATCCCGAAAGCTCAATGTCCTACCTCTTTCGCTCCTTTCTTTCTTTTTGCCTGATGGGATTGGATGTTCAGAAAGTCAGTTTCATTCATTCAAGGCAAACTGAAAAAAAGGAAACCGCACCTGTCCGCATCGATGACGTGAGGTTTGGGGGGGGGGGGGGGTGGGGGGGGGTAAAGATAGATTCCGAATCGATCCACATCTCAGAATGTGTCGGTTCCCTGAGCGCCGAGTCTATGCGACGACAACTCTCTCTCTCTCCCTTCGATAGGGATGATGATCCCAACCTTAGACCCAGTTTGAAGCGCCTTCCCCCCTTACCACTCAACTGACGGAAGAAGTGCTGAAGAGGGTAAAGCCAGGAAGATGAAAGGATGGAAGGGTGAGATCTTACCAGAGAGGATGTCGAGCGGGAGGGGGGAAGGTGGAGGTCTTGTCTCGGGTTGGTGACCAAATATCTTTCTTCCTTTTCCCCCCCTCCCCCTCCTCTCTCTCTGTCTTTCCACCCGATGGTATCAGAGCAAACCATTCTTCGAATTTCCTAGTCTGACCTTGCTTCTAACAGTTTCGAATTTCAAGGGGAGGGGAAATGAAGAAACAACGAAAAGACCTGGAGTTTATTTGGTGATGATGCCGTCTCAAGCTTGACCATTTCCAAGGCCGAGGGCAGTGGGAAGTGGTAAGCGAGGGGAAGGGGGGAGGAAATTTGAGTGCTGGCTGACGAAGGACCAGCACAGCCGCTCCAACAAAAAGGAAAAAAAGATTGAGAAAACGAAACATACAAACGAATAAACAGAAATCTCGAAGAAGATCTTGACCCCTCTCCCGTCCTCCTCAGACCTTCTTGCTTTTTCACCTCGATCGCATCACATGACGATGCACTTGGGTTTCCTGCCGCTTTTGTCTTTGCTCCGACCGTTTCCGTTCATTCCCGCCTCAAGCGACCTGCATTGTCTCACGATATCCGCAAAGACCTCGTCGACATTGATCCTCTTCCTCGCGCTCGCCTCGTAGTAAGGTACGTTGCCCCACGCTCTGGAGAGGTTGGTACCGATCTCCCTCGGGACTTGCCTCTCGGCCTTCAGGTCCGACTTGTTCCCCACGAGCACGAGTGGGACCCTCGCGTTCTTTATCCGTACGATTTGTTCCCTCAAGGGCCCGAGCTCGTTGACGCTTGCCAGATGGGTCAGAGAGAAGACCAAGATGAACCCCTGTCCACTTTTCATGTAGAGCTCCTTCAGAGCCATGAACTGTTCCGTACTGAGGAGGGTTTTTTGTTTCAATTTTTTTTGTTGTTGCGCAATCCATGCAGTACGATTTGGGTTTGAAGAGAGTGGAAGGAGTGAAGATGAAGGAAGAGGGAGTACCGCCTTCAATCGCTGTGTCCTTCTTCGGATCTCTGTCCCCTTCATTTCCTACCCAGCATCCCCGACGGGAACGGAACGACAGGAAAGCTGAGTCACTCGGAGAACAGAGGAACTCACCCGGCGGTATCCAGGATCTCGACCATGCACTGTTGGCCATCGATGGTGAGGTTCTTCCTGTAGGTGTCCTCGATGGTTGGGTCATACGTGCTGACGAACACGTTCCTCACAAATTGAACAGTTAACGCTGATTTCCCAACGCCACCAGCTATTCGATTGGATGAACCACCCCAAGCAGGCGGGACGAGAACGCAAAAGGGGGGGAGGGGGGGGGGGGGGGGGGGGGGGGGGGGGGGGGGGGGGGGGGGGAAAGGATGATGGGATGCGTGTCTTGAGTCAATTATCCATCGGCGCAGATCGAGAAGCCGTGATGATGGTTCCGACTCACCTCCCATGATCACCACCCTTGCCTCCTTCATCTTTCAAGGCTTGGATCTCGCCTTTGCTCGTGATACCTTCCTTTCCCTTCCTTGGACCTTGTGTCCAGGCCACGCCAAAGCCTTGGCGCGCTTGTATGCTATAACTATCGAAGAACTAGGCACTTGCCCAGGTGGTGGTCCTTGTCCCTCCACTCTTGTCCTTGTTTTTCCTTCCTAAAGCCTGAGGTACAATCGATTCTTTTGAGGGTGAAGCGAGCGTGCAATGTGACTTGCCTTCTCCTTTTCCCTCCTCCTTTTTCTCCTGCTTCTCCCGTTCTTTTCCAGCTCCGTCTCTTTCTATGTCCCTTGTAGAACACCTGGATTCTCCCTCTCTGGCCTCCTGGGCCTAGGACCTTTGGCGACCAAGGGGTTGCGAGGAGCGCTCTGGTCGTTTACTCCGGTTGGTTGGCTATCAAGGTCGCGCTGCGAGTATCAGATATGCTAAACAGAGGATCGCCGAAGAGGGTGGGTTGGTTTCAAACCTTTGCTTGATGTGTAGAGGGATACGCTTGTTTGACAAAGGCACCGCCTGTGGATTATCGCTCGCCGGCTCTGTCGGCTCCTCGTCCACTTTGCTTCCCCTCCTTCCACGGAAAGACGTCGCCAAAGGCCAATCCCTTTTTGAGGAACAAGGAGTAGAAAAAGGAAAGAGAAGGGAGCTCGGTCAAGGTCTCCCTGAAAGTTTCGTGTGAAAGAAATGTGGACCTGATGGGTTTCTGAATCCGCAAGTTGGTAATGGGCGGCGCGTTAAGGGAAAACCGCGAGACGTTAGCCAAGTGCTCGCCTTGAAGGGGTTGAATTTTCGGGTTAGGTGCGAAAGGAAAGTTGGCCGTCTGGGTTTACCTGGCTTGACTAAAGCATCCTCTATGTTCTGGTATCCTTTCCTCTCCTTTCTTCCAATGCCTAGTGTAAGTAGATTGCGAATCCTTCACCGAACTCGCGCCGGGGGGAAGGTTTCGAGCCTCTGGCCTTTCTTCGTCTCGATGGATATCGTTCGTTACTGAAACCTTTTGGTATAGGGGGTTGGTGGCGGTTGGATTGTTCGGATGGAGGATGAAAGGTCTGTGTCCGTCTGGTATCAGGTCGTGGGTACGTGACAAGTCGTGAGGTCAGGGGGATGATGGAGGAGGATGAGGAGGAGGATGGAGCGGAGAACAAGTTAGTGATGCAACGGTCAGTTCCCACTACTCACACAGACTTGACGTGAGGGAACTCGACAAAATGATGCTAGGAACCGAGAGGGTTTTTCCTCGCTCCTTTCAGAGTCTAATACCCGTCCATGTTCCATCCAACATTTCTAGATGCAGTCACGGTGTTGGCAGTCGAATCCAGTTTCATTTTAAGAAAATTTAATAAGCATGTAATGGCCAAACGTGAATGGATAGGTTTCGAGCTTTAGATCGTGAAACACAACCTTATGCGAAACGTGACTTTGAGACTCTTCCTTTCGCTATTTTTTTGCCTCAGGGTGACACGGATTGCCGGACTAGCGGCGTTGGGGTGGGGGGGGGGGAGGGGGGGGGGAGAGGTGTGGATTCGGGCCGGGGCGGGGGGGGGGAGGGTTGGGGAAGGGGGGGGGAAACGGAGCGTTCGGCCTCACCGCGACATGAACACACACAGAAACACACACCCTCACACACACACACACACACAGAGAGAGAGAGAGAGAGAGAGAGAGAGAGAGAGAGAGAGAGAGGGAGGGAGAGGAAGAAAAGTCTTGGTAGAGGTTTTATCGGTAGCGTCCTGAGGCATGTTTGAAAGAGTGTGGGAGGAGACTCTAGACTTGGGCAGACACGCTCAAACCAATCACTTGACCAAGAGGCTCGGATCACGGATCACGAGCAGCCCACGGATGCGACTTGAAGCTGAAAACCCCGAAATCGAGAGCATCGCGCCTACATGCGACACCTTGAATTGCCTCGTGTCGTCTTCTACACCATCATCAACTACACCTACCGATGCGTGTTTGGCGTTTTGAAGGGAAGGTGGAAACCTGGATGGAGAAGCGAAGGGAGAAAAAACCAGATCCGTGCTTTTCCGGGGTCACACTCTGACCGGGCACCGAAGGAAGGAGTCACCAAGATTCACCGAGTGATGTGATGAGGGTTCTGCAAGAGAAGGGCCTCAACAAGCTTCCCTTGGGTTCTGAGTTGGGTCCTTTCTTGGGAGAGGAGCATGATACAGGACATGGCTGATGATCGCCTTGAATGATACCCTCCATGCATTTCTCCACCTCATCCCTGCGCATACACACTCAAAAACTCACAATATCGCACGTCTGCATGCCAGAAGACATGGCCGAAGCATGTGGGATTGGATCATAAATGAAGATGATCAATGTACAAAATCGCTGCCGTGCTTGGCAAGTTCAGAAAGAAGCGGGTAAAAGGAGAAGAAAAGGGAGGAAAGTGAAGGGAATGGAAAAGAAAAGAGAAATGATCGAGAAAAGGTCAAAAGGGAGGATGGAGAAAAGAGAACGGGATAGAGCAGCATGGACGAGCTATTTGAAGTATCCCTGCTTCTTCAGCGATCCCGGTGGCAAGCCCATCTTGGTCTCGTACTGACTCTCCACGGACTCGTTCCTCTTCTTGCTTGCGTAGGCCCAGGCAAGCTTCAAGAGCTCGTAGGAGCCGAACATGGCGGCAGCGACTCCGAGCCCGTAGAGGATTTGCGTTGGAATGGGAGTATCTACCCTCGGCTTGAACTTCCTCTTTTCTTCCAAGTCCAAAGCTTTGGCCTCTGTCACCCCCTTCCCTCCCTCCTCGGCCATCTCCTCCTCCTGCATCTTGGAGACTTGCTCCAACTTCTCCTGCGTCTGGCTTTTCAGCCAATCCCTAGCTATTTGGGATCCCGTCAGCGTCTCCTTCTCCTTGCTCCTTGAGAATGGGTAAAGTCGACCATCCCCCATCGGATAAGAGGAAGGATGCCAACCTTTCCCCAGGCTCTCAGCCGATCTCCCGAGTTCGTCCAGGTTGAAAGGCAAGGAACAGATC